TGTTTTTATAATTAAACTTATAATTAAAATCAAACTTCTATTAATTTGTAATAATTGTTAAAATATTTTGTTTAAAAATCTAATAAATTGAAACAAAAATTAAATATTTATAGTTAGTTAAGATTTAATTAAAATTCATGCAATTGACAATATTTTATAACATAAGTTTATCTAATAAATTAATAATTATATACTTTTAATGAAATTGATTTCATAGATATATCAAAATAACCCTAAATTCTATATTATATATTATACTGTAATTAATAATAATAAATTAAATCAAATACTATATATTAATAATAATTCAAATCAAAATATAAAATTACAACAATATTATTAATCATTTTTATTATAATATAGTTTATTAGTATTAAAAACTGTAAAACTATTGTAAAATAAATTTTATTGATTTGCTTATCAATTAAGTCATTTGTAGACAAACTTAATGATCGTTATTGAAGTCAAAGTTAGAGATAACGAGCAAAAAGTGAAAAGCACTGCACTTTTGCTTCATTTGTTTTCATAGTTAATAGACATTCAGCAAAATTATATCAATGGTTAGTCTCAATGGTAGTCAATAGTAGTCTAAATGTGTATTACTATTGACTACACATCGCAAATGTAAGTGCAATGACAGCACGTGTTTCCGATATATAGTCTCTTTAAATAATGAGATGAAAGGCATTGATAGGCATTACATCCATTGTCTCACTTCTCAAGACGTGATCTGCTTTCACGTCATGACATCAAATCCTATCATAAATGAGTCAATCGTTTTGAATGCTAAGTACTGACGACCAGTACATTAGATATGGATTTTTATTGTCTTTATTTCACTAATTCATATATTTTTAGATTACAAATCTTCAAACACATAATACCCAAACACATAATACCCAAACACATAATACCCAAACACAAACACATTTGACCCAATATTATCAAATGATCCAAAATCAAAATATATAAACTTATTTGACTTCAAATTTTAATTAACCCATCTACATTGTATTATTATCAGGGTTTTAAAAATGGCAGGCATAAACAATAGATGCCAATTTTGCCAAATGCCTGCTCTGCCTCTGCCATGCCCTGGGCATCTATTTTCAGGTGGTGACACCTATTATTTTAATTTTATATTATTAATTAATTTATAAAACATTGTTTTTATAATATATTTGCTTGTATTTTTGTTTTGTATACCTTTAATTAAAAGGTAATATAATTGGAAATAAGTAAATTAATTGTAAATTTAATTAACACGTTAAAACACTAAATTACATTATTATTTTATAAATACAGTTGCTTTTTAGCAATTTAAATTGGCAGGCAAATAAAATAGATTCCAAAAATGCCAGGCATTTATGGCATTTATTTGGGCATTGCCAGGGCAGGCATTTATTTTCTTAAAACCCTGATTATTATATATCTTATATTTTATTTTAATTTAAATGTTTGCATTGTTTTATAATTTATTTTTTATTTAGTCTAATATTACTTTAATAAATAATTAATTTTGATTTTATGTCATATGATTTGAGTTAAATGTGTTTTATGTATTTATATTATAATTTATAAATTTTATAAGTTTGAAGCTTTAGATTTTTGGAGATTTTGAGTTTGACAGCATTTTTACTTATATTATCGTTATATAGTATATACTGTACTTTGAAACTAACTTATATATTAATAACTTATTAATAATTACTAATTATATATTTTTTAATTTGACAATTATTTATTTGCCACAATTTATTTTTATTATACTATATTTAACATGTATTAATCTTAAATTAAACCATTGAGTACCGTAATTCAATTGTGGCAATTATACTTTTACTATAAAATATTGATTTTTGATAAAACATTTTGTTGTCTTTAATGTTTATTTTGCTAACATATGGTAATAATTGTTATATAATTATACTATTTTTATAGTACTTTAAAATATTTACATGAATTAACTGATGGTCTTTTAAAAAGTGAATGTTTTTAGTGTTTATAACTTACAGTAAGTCCTAATAGTCTAACAATTCATTGGTATTTCGTGTTTGCGAAACAATAGCACTTTTACCGGTACATCATATGTACAAATGTGATGGCAGTTCCAAATACTGTATATATTAATACAATACTATTTAATCATTTTACAAAATATCAAATTTAAATCTCTCTTTAAAATAATATATACCAATATATATATATATTTATAATATATAAAATCTATTTTCATTCTCATAGTTTTCTAATAATTTAGTTTTTTCAATAAAAATTTCATATTTGAAAATAGAGAAAATGATAAATTTAAATTAACATTCGATAATTACATCTATAATTTTATAATAATCAAATTATGTTAATTGGATTAAACTTAATTAAGATATATTATTAATATTATGTTATTTTCCAATCTATAAATATTCAAAAAAGGTTGGAAACGTATTTCTAATTATAAGTTGCAGTAAAAAGTCTATTAAAATACAACAATAGTATACTGTATAACAAAAAATAATTTAAAGTGAAATTTCATAATTATTTGGTTGTCTATTGTAAATGAATTTAAATAATTGTTTTTCGATGTCATTCAATAAAGAAGAGGCGCCGATGCGAAACAAGTCTCGATTCAACCAATGGTCTCCTAATTGTGATTTAATTAATCCGATCCAATCAATGGCATCTTGTGCTGTCTTTAGCCCTCCGGCCACTTTAAATCCAACCCGAACTCCAGTCAAATGATAGAAATCGGCAATAGCTCGGGTCATAACCACACCTATGGGTAGCGTTGCGTTGATTGTCTCCTTTCCTGTCGATGTCTTTATAAAGTGAGCGCCGGCTAACATAGCGGTCATACTGGCCTACAATGATAATACTGACTAACCTTTAAATACATTAATTTGATTCATACAAACCTTATAGATGTTATCAAGTGATGCTAACTCTCCGGCACTAATAATCACCTTTAAATGAGCGCCACTTTTATCGCATAAACTTCTCATTTGTGTCAACTCGTCATACATTTGACTCCAATTGCCAGTCAATGCCAAAGCTCTGTCCACCACTACATCAATCTCTTGAGCGCCACTTCTCACAGCAAAATCTATTTCATCGAGTCTTGTATTAACAGAATATTGTCCCGAAGGGAATCCAGTGGCCACACAAGCGATGGCAACTCTTAGACTATTATTATCATCAGCTAATATATTGAATGCGTTGACACAATCAGAAGCTCTCGATGGATACACACAGACAGCCGCAGTGGTCAACGGTTCAGAGATTGRAGTATTTGCTGTGATTTTTTCCTTCAAATGTCTTCTTAATGGATTCAATGCCCGATAACAAAGTCTCTCGACATTGGCTTCCGTGTCATCGCCTGAAAGTGTCGTCAAATCAATACTTTTGATGGCAAATACTAACTCATTGATAATGGTTTGAGTGTCTAATCGATGGTATCGTTGTTTGATAGCTTCGGACATCTCTTTGACATTATATGTATTGATATAAACATTGTCCACAAGTTGTGTGTCAAATGTCATCACTTTTGTGGCCATTTTCTGTGTCTTTCGGAGTGAAACTGGTTTTCAATTATAACTTAAGTATAAAACAGTTTTTAATGAATCAATTAATTGATTGTTTGTTTGATATACTGTATAACATCTATGACTATGAGATTCAATGTTACAAACTATCTGTAAGTTTTTTACAGTACTTGTTATCACTAATTGATTATTGATTTCAATACTGTTATAGACTAATAAAATATCAATAAAATACAGATAWATATATATATATATATTAGACTCAATTTAATTTACAGTTAAACTTTTAAAAACTTTTTCTAAGTTTGTTATTAATCACTACTAAATGTATTTATTTTTAATTTAATTATATTTCTAACTGTAAATTACTTATTTAGTTATCACTTATAAGTTATAATATATTTGTTWTTTAAACAATTGAAATATTAAACAATAAATATAATAAATAAATAATTATATCAATCATATTATTGTATTTACATTATTATAACAAAAAGCTATTTTATTGATATTAATATGTGTTGTGATCAGGGTTTTAAGAATATAAATGCCTGCCCTGGCAATATTGTCATAAAACATTTATTTTATTTGCCTGCCAATTTAAATTGCTAAAAAGCAACTGTATTTATAAAATAATGTAATTTATTTGTTAATTAAATAATTTATTTATATTTCCAATGATATTACCTTTTAATTAAAGGTATACAAAACAAAAATACAAACAAATATATTATAAAAACAATGTTTTATAAATTAATTAATAATATAAAATTAAAATAATAGGTGTCACCACCTGAAAATAGATGCCCAGGGCATGGCAGAGGCAGGGCAGGCATTTGGCAAAATTGGCATCTATTGTTTATGCCTGCCATTTTTAAAACCCTGGTTGTGATTCAGTGACAACTTGTGAATAATATTGCAAACAAATAATTATTATTTGATAAAATAATACTTTACTTGAATATCAATCCGATTCCCAGTTAATGCCCGTCCGGTTAATTAAATTTAAAATAATTAAAATTAAATGTTTATAATTSTAAACTTTATTTTAAATATAATATAATTAATTTATGCATTAATAATCAAATTATATTTTATGTACTAATATTATATTTTAACAATTTTTATTGCAAYACATAGACGACAGGTAACAGCAGATCCTGTATAACTGGGATCGCGATTAACACTTTTACTCAAAACTACGTATTTTAATGTAAACGCAATGTTTATAATTATTTTAATAAATAACGTTTGAATCCCTTTATTGTAAATCTAATAAAATATATATAAAAATATTTTTGATGTTTTGGTTCCCTTTGTTGTCGTAATAGACGTATAAATGTCAAGTGATTTGTCAGACAATAACATAACATAACGTAAACATTGAGTGAAAATACTTACAAAATGTTTGTTTCATTGATATAATGTTGCGATCGATGGATGACTTCATTGATTGCAGACATCACCAGTTGGTTCAGTGATATCATTGACCATCAGTTTGATAACATCATTGACTCTCTGGTGGACATCCAGACAGCCGTATATCTACTCGTATTAGTGACGATCATATCATTGATAATTTGGTTGAATTGGTTGATATCACCGATGGATTTGTATTCAATGGCCATGAGTTCAACGCCAAACAACTACTGTATGTCTTAATCATTGATTTTTACTATTATTTTCATTAATGATTTAATATCATTAGTTGCGGACTTCTGGTCCTATGATAGTGAAGCCTCCGAAGTGAACGATGACTTCCCGCCCACTGAAGATCCCGTTTGGCTGTTGGGTATTAAATACAGTTCACTTCATGGTATGAGTTAACCATTATTTGATTGCAATTATATTATTATATAWTATTAATTMATTTGAATTTTTGTTGATATTATAACATATTTTTTAAAAATACAGAACTCGACGAATTAAGAAGTGATATTAAGTCTCGCATTTGGATTACGTATAGAAAAAATTTTGCACCAATTGGTGGACCTAATGGTCATACCAGTGACAGTGGATGGGGTTGTATGTTAAGGTGTGGTCAGATGGCATTAGCACAGGCACTCTGTGTCAGGCATTTGACTCGKGACTGGCGGTGGACACACAATGACACACTAGAATCGGATTTACAATATCGTGAAGTACTTAAGCTGTTTGAAGACAAGAAGACATGTATTTATTCAATCCATCAAATCGCACAAATGGGTGCTTCAGAGGGTAAGCCAATTGGCACCTGGTTTGGACCCAACACTATTGCTCAGGTCTTAAAGTAAGTTTTTAAATGTCTTTAAATTTTATATATTTTCTGTTAAAATATTATTTATTTATTATTAGAAAATTGTCTGCATTTGATAAATGCAATGAAATAGTAATTCACGTCGCGATGGATAATATGGTTGTCATCGATGAAATCAGTCAGTAGTTCTACATTTGTATATATAGAATATATAACAATAATAAATATAACATTAATTTAATTAAATTTGTTTAATAATAATAATAAATTAATTAATAATTATTTTTTGACAGAAAATTTATGTAAAAAATCAGATAATAGTCAAGAAAACGGTGAAAACAATTCAAAAAATTCATGGAAACCATTAGTTTTATTTATTCCGTTACGTTTGGGTTTATCTGAAATAAATCCAATTTATTTTAAATCACTTAAAACAACGTTTGCAATGAAGCAGTCTCTGGGAATAATAGGTGGTCGACCTAATCATGCCTTATATTTTATCGGTTGTGTTGCCAATGATTTGGTATATTTAGATCCACACAATACACAGCATTTTGTTGACTTAGAGCAGTCCGACTCCGATGACTCCAGTTATCACTGCCTTAAGGCCTCCCGTATGGACATTAGTCTTCTGGATCCGTCAATATCTTTGTGTTTTTATTGTGACTCAGAACAAGAKTTTGATAGTTGGTGTCATTTAGCACTACAAGTGTTAAGATTAGGTGAAAAACAATCGTTATTTGATTTGATTAAAGAAAGACCTTATCATTGGCCTCAATATGAAGAACAGTGTGATTCAGTTATCTCATCGCAGCCAACCTTCAGCTCAATTAATTCCGAACCGTTTACTGAACTCGAGACAAATGGTGACTCTGATGACGACGAGTTTGAATTATTGGGTTAAATGTTAAAAATATAAGATTTTAAGACCAATTTTGTTATGAAATTAAATAAATATTTTATAAATTACTGAAAAATTGTATATTTTTTRTTTATTTATTAAAAAAATCATTATTTTTAATTGTTTTAAACTATAAAATCATCTGAAATTAAATTATTTTTATTTATATTAATTTTAATATTATTTTATTTCTGTTTAATACAATAATAAGATATATTATATTTTTAAAACATATTAAATTTAATTAAAATAATATAACATTAAATTAAYACTTATCATAATAGAAACGATAGTATTTATTAATACAATTTCATGAAATATTTAATTTCAATTTTAATTGTTCTCATATTTCTCTTTATCTTTTCTATCATCAAAAATATCATATAATTATTTATTGTCTAATGAATGGGACATAATTTTTTAAAAATAGCAATGATATTTCAATTTCAAATTTTTGTATTATTTGTGACAAAATATGTATTAGAGGTAAATAGTGAGTCTCGAGACGTAACCACCGATGACTTCCAACTGGACTGTCTTCTCACTCATAATAAGTACAGAGACAAACATTGCGCTACTTCTCTCAAATTTAGTCCTAAAGTATTATAAATTATTTTTTATATTAATTTTTATTATATATTCAATTAATGTCTCATTTTCATTGAATTAGCTAAAATTGTTAGCCAATCGACGGGCAGTTTATTTATCGACAAATGAGGGTCAAAATCATAGTCGAGTCCAAAACGTGGCATTTGGTGAAAATAGTTATGTTATGCAATACCAGAACTCGACATCTGTTGACTGCAAAGCCATTGTAGAGAAGTGGTTCAATGAGAGAAGACTTTACAATTGGAGAGACGACACTAAAGTTGGATATCATTCGCGACATTTCGCTCAGATTGTATGGAATTCAACGCAAAGACTTGGATGTGCTTCAGTGGTGTCCAAARCTAGTCATCTATACGTTGTTTGCAATTATTATAATTTAAAGCCTTTTCCACAAAACGTYTCACAAAATATCATATCAGAAGAGAAATGCGATCAAATTCTTAGCAAAAGAAGTTTTAAATATCGGGAACTGACAAATGGTCTCTGGAGTCAACAATGTCTTAATGAACACAACCGTATCAGACAATTGCATTCAGTCCCACCACTCACTATCAATGACCAAGTGATCACTTTATTTATATATTATTTGTTTGTGTTTTCTTAAAGTGAATGAAATTAAGAGAGAGWGAGAGAGAGAGAKAGAGAGAGAGAGAGAGAGAGAGAGAATATTTGATTAACAATTAATGTTTTAAACAATATATTACTACAGATGCTTGAATTGGCACAAAAGCGAGCTCTAGAAATGGCTCGAAAAGGATTTCGATTTTTTAGACATAAGAACTGGCGTTGGGGTGAAAATATTCATTGGACTAAAGCAACAAACAATAGCATAAAAGCCATTAATTGTAAATTATCAATTGGTAAGTGGTATCAGGAGATTAACAATTATGATTGGGACTTCCGTGAGACATCCAATGGCACAATAAGACATTTTCTCCAAATGGTTTGGAGGCCAACCAATATAGTTGGATGCGCTCAGATCCAGAATGTGGAGGAAACCAAGGTGGGGTTTACACTGTATGCCTGTATGATCCCAAAGCTGATCTCCATTACTCTGACCTTCATTGGGTGAATGTATTTCCGGATATTTCAAAAATAACAGAACAGCCGACAGAAATAATATCAATACAACAAAATTCTGGAGACGATTACGGACACGAATCGGATGAGTTGGACGACGAAACAGAACTCGAGAAAGAATTTAAAGATGTWGACGACATCATCGACACAAATGCTTACTTAGGACTCACACCTGCTGTCAGTTTGGAAGATGTCTTCATTAAGACAACAACTCCTGGTTTAGCCTTTGATCGCAACGAATACCTTCACAAACGCAAAGCTAGTGATAGACGAAAAACTTAAAATATTTTTATTATTTTACTTTTGTATTACAATATTATTAATTACAACTCTTATATTTCATTTTTAGCACTATTAATATAATTAATATATATTATTCATTAATTAATTATTGTTTTATTAATATTATTATACAATATTTTTTATTCATTTTATTAATTATAATATTTATATTATATTTGTAATAGTAGATAAATACTATAAGTTATGATATAATACAGGTATTAATTTTATACATTCTGTACATTAAATACATTTCACTAAAAGACAATACGTTATATACAATATASCAGTATATTTTTTATATAATGTGCTGTAAATGTTWTATAATGTTTATAAYGTATATTTTTTAACATTTACATATTAYAGTATGTGAGAAACGTTTAACTATAATTTATATATAACGTTTATACCAGTATATAAATATTATGACACAAAAAAAATATGAAAAATATGATAATCACAGTACAAATAATTTTATTGAGTGATCAGTTTTATTTTTGAGTAATAGTTTTATAAATAATTAAAAATTTTATCCRTGATTAATATATACTTCTACTTTTATTTTTCTATATTGATATTTTTACACAAACACATTGACAATATGAATATACAATTCTGTATTGAAAACATTATACCGGTTCAATATATATAACAATATTTTTAAGAAGATATTATTAATTATAATGAATTTAACAAAAAATATAAATAAATGTTTATTAGTATACATTATGATATAATATATTTAAGAAAATGTTTATTAAACTTATTTTTGAAAATAAAGTTATAAAAAATTATATATTTATTGTATATTTTCAGTTGTATTTGTCATTAGAGAGTTGTAGCGATTGGTCGGACTGTTTGTCTATAAAGCAAACGCTAATACTTTATCAGAATATTCTGTCATAAGAACCAATAGTACTGAGCATTAGTTCATAAAATGTCATTTTAGTTATGCATACAATCACATCACACAATTTATTTGTAATTTTATGCATAAGTTTAACTATATTTTATTAAATTCAAACATTAAATACACATCACTTTATCTGTAAATACATGTAAATTGTTCATAAAATAACATATCAGACAAAGTAAACAAATAAAAAGTGTCTTCAAAATCATATTTTAGTTTTTAAAGTTTTGTGCCTTTTCTACTTTTAAACATTTATTTTTTAAATTCTAATTTAATTAAAGTTATATGAATTTCTCCGAATTACATAAACAAATAATAGTATTAATATTTATTAAAATAAAAATGTATTTTACTTTAAAATAATTTGAATATTCAGCAAAAAATTTAAAAATACAAAATTATCAAAAAATCAATGATCAAAGTAACCAAAGACGCGGCTACATCACCAACAGTTCCCATAATAGCCCAACAATACTACTGTACGGTCACGTGTTGTAATAATAACAACTGTAAGCCGTCGACAATATTAAAAGGTGTTAGAAATCCATATTATTGTCCAAATCGGCAATTGGTTTCCAATGGACTAAACGGCTGTCCAAATGGAGTACCGAAAAGTTGTAGTTTTTATAGTACACCCATTCCTTATACACCAACTGTTTCACCTCAATGTCTCGTAACCGACAACTTCTATATTAGTGGTCACGGATGCTTCAGAAGAGCTGTGCCTACAATGCCTTTATTTGTTGCCATTTTCCTAACATTCCTTAATCTTATACTTCCCGGTTCAGGTATTTTTTAATTTTTAATAATTTATATAAAACATAATTATATAATAATAAAATTTAATATTTATTTAAAAAAAACTCTTGTTTGAAAAGTCTAGAATTATAGTGATTAAATCAATTAATTATTATACATAATATAATGTATAATACGGTATAAAGTAATTTATAATAAAATTATTGGTTTTATTTATTATAATATAAATAAATTAAAAATAAATCAGTACTAATTTTTTATAATTTATAACAATTGTTGTCTTTATTATTTATATTTTATACAACAATAATTTTAAATAGTTTAAATATCATACTTTATTTTTTAGTATAATAATGTATTATAATAAACTTTCCATAGTTTCCTATTATCATTAAAATAAGTTTATATAAAGTATGACTTTTTAATTAAGCAAAAATATTCGTTTATAACAATATCATTGTTATTTGAATATACAATTTGAATGTACTGTACTTACTTTATATAATATTATTTAAATAATAATTATTATAGCTGATTTCAAATGTTATACAGTAACTACTGTATTATAAGTTATTGAAACTTTAAAACTTTAAGATCATTAATTAACTTTTCGATTTAGTGAAATCAATTGGAAATATTAATACAATAATAACAAATAACAACATTTACTACTGAATTTAATTATACTTTTGTATACTGTATACATTTTTTAAAACATAACATTGCAAAAAATTGACTTAATATATAAATAATAACTACGTTTAACAAATCTATTTTAGTATTTATATTACACAAAATATTGAATTTTGTGTTATACTTTATTTAGGATTTTGATAATAAAGACTTTATTATAAATATTAAAATAATGTAATATTATATGTTTAAGTAAAATGCATTTCCTAAACATTTTATTAAGATATCAAAAGCAAAAATCAATTTTTTTATTTTTCTTGTAATCAAAACGTATAGCATTAAAGCATTTAATAACAATTATTAGATAAATAACTTATTTCACATTAGCTTTATATTTAATACAAATAAATCAATACTATTTACAATATTTTAATTCAATGCTAACTTAAAAGCTGATTTGTTATATGTTGCTATTTAAAAATAAATATTTTTTATTAATGATAATAATTGTATACTAATTTAACATTTTTAATCACAATTTTTAATAATTCAATAATTTAAGATAAAAAATAGTGAATAAAAAATTAAATTGTTTGTAATTCAAATTAAATGATAGTTTCTATGAAWATTAAATTTATAAATAATTCATACAATTTGATACTATATTTATATATTTATACTAAACAATATAAATATAATGTTGTACCTTGATTTACTATTTTTTAATTAAAAATATTATTAAGTTTCTCATATTATATACTTTATTAAGTACTCTATTGTTACCGTATATGAAATATTGTAAATATGTTTTATTAATTTAATTAATATTGTTGATTTATTAATAGTTCATTACATTAGGCAAATCTATTGATTGTAATCATATTATCATAAATAATAAATATATAAACTAAGCAAAAAAAAAGTTTTGATTAGTTATGAACCCTAACCTTGACATATACCATATACAATATACCTGTGCTAAATGCAATTGAAACGATTAATATTGAATTGCTGTATGATTTTGATATGTTTTTGTTGCTATTATATGATATTAAACGTTTGGTATTAAATTTATGATTTTAATATATATATATATATATTGTATTTAGAGTTTAGAAAACATTGCCAAAGGAGGGAATTCCGCAATGAATTTCATCCAATTTTTTCAATCAATCCAATCAAACAACAAATAATTTATTCTTATTTTTTTTAAGAAACTAAATTAATTGAATTTAAGACTTAAATCAAAATTAAATCAAGTTATTTTAAAAATATTTTAATATTAAATTTATTGATATAAAATGCAGATCTAATTAAAAATAAATTTATATGCCATATGTGGTTAAATATTTGTTATAAAAATGTTTAATAACTAACAATATACTGTAAGTCATTATGTTAAAGTTAATTCCCGGATTTTCTCAGGGAATATAAAAATATGGAATTTAGTAAATTATTTAAATGGAAGTAATCCTATGAAACCTTAATTGTATATATAATATATTTCAATGAACAGTACTGTACATTATATTACAATAGTAATTATGACTATAGTTTTAATAGCATTTAGTGAAATGCACGCAAATTAATGAGATATACAATGAAAAAGTCATTTACTTTGGCGGCACGTTTGGTGACAATGAAAATAACAGACAATATTATACGTATATATATATACCTGACTAGAGTAACAATTGCTAAATTGGGACAAACTTTTAGCCACTAAACAGTAATAATATATAACTCATTAAAGATTGTGTTTTCATTATGAATGACTCATTTAAATATATTGATTATCATTCAAAAATATATTTATATCACAAATATTAAAATAATACAATAATAGTATAATATAAGGTCATAACAAAATTAAAAATAAAATTATATGACTTTTTGAATTTTAGTGTTAATGAAACTTATTAAATCACTTTTCATTTGTCTATTTGTTAATTAAATTTTTTTTATCAGTATTTAATAATAATAATAAGCTATTATTATTAGAAAACAAATTAATTATTATAGATATTAACAAAATTAATAATAAATATAATAAATTGATACTTTTAGGTACATTATTGGCTTCATTATCAATACTATTTGGTTGTAATACAGAATATGGAGAAAGTCATTGGTTTAAAGCATTCCTCATATGTTTGTGTTCAGCACTTCTACAGACAATTACAGCTATTCTAGTGTTTGGATGGGTTTGGAGTATAATGTGGGGAATCGTATTCATTAAAAGTATTACTTTTTGTTTGATAAACATTAATATTATCTCTTTTATAACACCGATTGTATAAATTTAATGATTAATTTTGGGTATAAAACTTATTCATATAAATTGATCAAACAGTAATAAAACAGACCTCTGTTTAGTGTTTATGTAATACATATTACATGTAGTTTCGAAAAATAAAACATTTATCAATGTTTCAGAAAAACTTGAGATAAGGTTTAACTTAATTATAACAAACTTTTCCTATAAGTATTTTCTAAAAAAAATAATTTTCTCTTTTTTCTAAAAAATATTTTTCAGATTCTCTAAGATATGGTGACAAAAGAGATATTTATTCAATGAGTCTATGCTAAAGAAAATATGTAATTAATTTGAATCAAATATCACATTCAACTGAAATGCAATTTAAATTATTCCCATTTCTCRTATAAAACATACAAAGCATTAACAAAAATTATATTATACTGTATTTAGTTATTAAATATTAGAAATTTTAAAATGAAATCAACTATAATAATAGAATACTATTTTTCAATACCAAATTAAAATATATTTAAATAAAAATAAAATTAATTAATTAATTAATAGTGTACTTTATTAAACAATGTTTAATCAAATTTTACAAAATAATTGACAAAATAAAGTATCATTTAATAATCATTTAATAATTTAAAATTCAATATTAAATGGATAATACAAATGGTTGGCCACATTCGGGCCATTCCATCGGATATGTATTATACGTCCCTCTTCTTTGCGATCAAAACTCTCAATAATAGCCAAGTCTTCGGCAGACAATTTAAAGTCAAAGACATCTATGTTTGAAATGATGCGCTCTTTTGTCACACTTTTAGGAATGACTGCAACATCTCTTTCCACTTGAAACCGGATTAATATCTGAGCACTACTTTTATTATATTTTTTGGCCATTTCTTTGATCTTCGGGTCTTCAAGAATGGACGGATCGTCCGGCTTAGCCCACGGTCTGTCCGGYGAACCTAATGGACTGTAAGCCGTAACAACAATATCTCGTTGACGACAAAAATTGATTAATCGTTTTTGATTGAGATATGGATGACATTCAACCTAATTATAYCAAATTATTTAATTAATAAATAGATATTATTGTCTATAAATGGCTCACTTGATTGACTACAGGCTTAACAGTGGTTTCTTTAAGAAGTCTATCAATTTGTTGTGAATTAAAGTTTGATAAACCAATTGATTTAACTTTYCCTTTATTCAACATATCTTCTAATCCGCGATACGTCTCAACAAAATCAATATCACTGACTAAGACTTCTCCGGCAGCGTTCTTCGGAAACTTGTCGTCGCCTTCTTGATACCAATTGGCCAATGCATGAGATATAGGTCCAGGTATTGTAAACCGAGTGCCTTAAGTGACTGATCCAAACACAGTTCGACGCGCTCTCTCTTGTGGTAAGTATTCCAGAGTTTACTTGTAATAAAAAGTTCTTCTCTCTTAACTTTTCCCGAAGTTATCGACTCATTGAGTGCACGGCCGACCTCTGCTTCGTTACCGTAACCAAAGGCACAGTCTATGTGTCGATAACCGGCTTCGATGGCATCTTTGACCGCTTCATATACTTGTCCTTCGGGTGACTTCCAAGTGCCCAAACCTACTAACGGCAAATCGCGTCCGTTATTCAACTTTAAAGTTGTTGATGTCATTGTCTTAAAGTTACGAATCAGTTGTAAATAATTGGGAAAAAACTTTATATTTATAGTCTTTAGACTAATTAGTATATCATATATTGATGGGAAGTGCTCTGCAAAGGATTGCTAATAGCAGTTCTTCAGTACTTTTTGATGATGTACTCAACACATCTGTACTTTTTAAAAGAGTAGTCAATTAACACTATGTATGACAAGTGTTGATAATGAAGAGACACGTTATCTAATCAATGGTTATACCAATCAAGTGAACCATTCATAACATAAATTCAATTGACTTTCTCTTTAAATGATTGGTTGACAGTCCTATCAAATGGCTTTCATTAACTGTTTTGGCTCTTAATTTTGAATTAACTTCACTCTCAATACAAGTAACACATAATATGACCACTTCTTGTTGTAAAGTCTTCAGATTATATGATATACAGAGTACTAAAAGTTTTATAATACTTTTGATTAATTTATGTACAAATAATGGACAGTATGTCGGATGTAATGCTTTATCTTTATATTATCTTTGGTTTGTATTAATTGTTTTTGGTATCAATTTAATGGACAAATCGGTGATTATATCGGATGAAAATGTCTTTAAAATATTCAGTAGTTATACTGTTATATAGTTTGTAATAATACTGTAGTTATTAATACATATGTATATCATATGATTCATAGCTATAGACAATAATAACAATTACTATTAATATACAGTTTTGTTGTATGAATACAATAGTTTGTATGTAATGTACAGCCAATGGGAGTGAAGGGCGCAAACAGTGAGTCTTATTATTGGTTGAATTGATTAAAAGCGGCAAATGATTTAAAAGCGCCAAAAAACACAATACAAGTGATTAGACTTTAGTGAAGACATTAAACTGATTGACAATCAATTTTAATGACACATCAAGTGATTAACAATCAGTTTATCRATAATTTGTGACCATTTAAGTGAAAGACATTATCGRAAATGAGTGATGAAGAGACAGGTACTGTATGTCATAAGTTAGTCACAAACGGCATCTCATACTATGTTTTTGTCCTTTAGTTGAGGTCACAACCCGTCGCGAGAAGCGTAAAGTTAGTGCACAGTTGTCTAAGAAGTTATCGGCGTTACAGAAATTGAGACAATTAAAGGGATCGAAAAATAAGTATCAAATTGAAGATGAAATCGATGTCTATGAAGAGGTMGATGAAGATGAGTACTCTGAACTTGTGGCCAAAAGACAACGTGAAGATTGGATTGTCGACGACGACGGCGCCGGATATGCGGACACTGGACACGAGATATTTGATGATTGCGACGGAGGTGAGGACGACGGATATCGTAAGTCATCAAAAAGGGATAATTCATTGAAAAGTAAAATGACACCAAAGAACAAGTCTCTGATTGCAAGCGATGACAATAAACCGATTAAAAAGAGTAATAATATTAGAGATATGTTTAAGAGTTTGGGAGAGAATAGGTCTTTGAAGAAATCCATTAGTGATGTTAAGGCTAATGAAAAGGATGTCGAAAGCATTTTGGGTGACATTTATGGCAAAAATACAACAATGAGTTCCACACCTAAAGTAATGAATCTTCAACACAAAGATGTAATTGACGCCAACAAATACATCAAATCCTTATGCCATTAATACTTCATCAGTCAAAAGACTTCCTAAACGAGTACTGACTAATGGTTCCGCTGGAAGACCTTTGAAGAAACGGTCTCTCATGTCTGGAGGTGACTATGACTTCGACAATATTATTGATTTCGATGACTTTGATTTTAAACCTGAGGTCAAAGCAGACATCGATGAATTAAATAATAAAATTGATAAACAAATTGACGAAAAAAATACATTTGAAGACTTACCAATGAAAACTATATCAGATAGTGAATGGAGTGCTTCCAGCACTAACAATGACATTCAAACGATACCAATTGCAGCCATTTTACCCAAAGAGGTACCATTCGAGTTGGACAACAACAACAATAAGTTGATTTCATTTTACTGGTTTGACGCACATATCGATCAGTTTAAAAATCCAAGTATTGTCTATTTGTTTGGTAAAGTTTGGGTCAAAGATATCAAACGATATGTCAGTTGTTGTATTCAAGTCCGTAATATTGAGCGCAAGATTTATTTGGTTCCGAGAGAACACATGTTGAACGATGAAACCAAAGAAGTCAAGATTCAAGACGTGTACAATGAGTTCAATGATATAATCGCTAAAAAGCTTAAAATAACTCAATTTAAATCGAGAAAAGTTACTAAAAAGTACTCATTTGAAAACAATAACATTCAAACTGAAGCGGAATATCTCGAAGTCTTGTATTCGGCTTCTCATTCGGTACTTCCACAGAACATGAGTTCTGGAAATACATTTAAACACATATTTGGAACCAATACATCTGGTCTCGAAAATCTATTACTTGATCTCAAGCTAATGGGTCCACAATGGCTCACAATCAAGAATCCTGAGATTTCTGATCCACCCGTCAGTTGGTGTAAGATTGAGCTCATTGTTAATAAAGCGAGCGCTCAGATCTCAGTGGACAGCCATCAGAAACCGTCGCCTGATTTTACATTAATATCACTTAATATGAAAACATTTGTCAATCCAAACACAAAACTTAATGAGATTATTGGTATCTCTTGTTTTGTGAACTCTTCATTCAATTTTCACAAATCAAATGTTGGATCAAAATACGATTCACACTTCTGTGCCATCACTAAGCCATCTAATAATTGTGGTGTTAATCTTCCGTATGATTTTACACCAAAAATGGCACTTAAAAATTACAATAAGACAAAAGTGGATCCGTTGAACTCTGAGAGAGAGCTTCTCAATTATTTTATGGCAAAACTGCATCAATTGGATCCCGATATCATTGTTGGTCACGATGTTTACAACTTTGATTATGATCTACTCTTGTCTCGATTTGCTTACCAYAAAATAGCTATGTCGTGGTCAAAGATGGGTCGACTTAAGAGATCTGGTATTCCTAATAAAGCTAAAGATAAGAATCAATTGTGTGGTCGTCTTGTGTGCGATATTAAAATATCGAGCAAAGAGTTGATCCGCTCTAAGAGTTATGATTTGACACAATTATCGACACAGATATTGAAGAAATCACGTTTTGAAGTCGAACAACACTTTTTGCCAAAATATTTTGCAAACTCTAATCAACTCTTAAGACTTATTGATCTTTTTATGAAAGATAATGATTTAATTATTAACATAATGTATGAGTTGAATGTATTACCGCTGGCCCTACAAATTACATCCATTGCCGGCAATTTGTTGTCGCGTACATTACTGGGCGGCCGTTCCGAGCGTAACGAGTATTTACTTCTTCATGCATTTCACGCTAAAAACTATATCTGTCCGGACAAAGTGTTTGCAAACAATGGTAAACAAATTGATTACAATGAACTCGAGTTAAATACCGAAGCAGTTGTTCAAAAAGGCAAAACCTCCCGAAACAAGAARGCCGCCTATACTGGTGGTCTGGTATTGGAKCCTAAAGTGGGATTCTATGATAAATATATACTTTTAATGGACTTTAACTCATTGTATCCGTCAATTATTCAAGAGTTTAACATTTGTTTCACAACTGTTTCACAAAATGTACCAAATAATGATAATGAGATCACTGAGGAATATATACCAGAAATTCCAGATTCAGAACTTCCTGAAGGAATACTTCCTTCTGAAATCAAAAAGTTGGTCGAAAGTCGAAGAGAAGTCAAGAAATTGATGTGTAATCCGGATTTATCATCAGATTTAAAACAACAATACGATATCAGACAAAAAGCTTTAAAACTAACAGCAAATAGTATGTATGGCTGTCTTGGATTCAGTCACTCACGATTTTATGCCAAACCATTGGCCGCATTAGTTACTTATAAAGGACGAGAAATTCTTATGAATACTAAACAATTGGTTGAAAAAATTGGTTTGGAAGTGATTTATGGTGACACCGATTCCATTATGATTTTGACAAATTGTGTCAATTTTGATGACGTAAAAGCTATCGGTAGTAAAGTTCAGTCAGAAGTTAACCGTCTCTACAGACTTCTTGAGATAGAAATCGATGGCGTATTTCGTTCAATACTTTTGCTTAAAAAGAAGAAATATGCGGCACTGACTGCACAGAAGTTACCTAACGGTGACATCCATTACACTAAAGAAGTTAAAGGTTTAGACATTGTTCGTCGCGATTGGTCTATATTAGCGAAGAAGGCCGGAGAACACATTCTCGATGAGATTCTAGCCATCGATAAACCCAGTGATGTCATTGTAGATAACATTCATAGCTATTTAAATCAATTGGCAAATGCCATCCGTAATAATGAACTGCCTATCGATGAGTTTGTGATTAGTAAAGCATTGACCAAAAATCCCGAAGAATATCCCGATAAGAAAGGTTTGAGTCATGTGACAGTCGCTCTCAGATATAATGAGTCAAATAAAACCAAGAAATTAAAAAATGGAGACACAGTATCTTATGTTATATGTGAAGACAGTTCCGGAAGACCAGCCACTCAAAGAACATATCATTGCGATGAACTCAAAGAGAAAAACTTGAAGATTGACGTTAAATATTATTTGAGTCAACAATTACTACCTGTTGTGTCTCGACTTTGTGAACCCATTGATGGAACCGATTCACACATTTTGGCTGAATTTATGGGAATTGAATSTAATATTAATGCTATGAATCGATCCATCATTGAAATTGAGACMGCATTTGAAAGAGGGGAACATAAATACGATTTGTGTAAACCATTGATTTTTAAATGCATTAATGAAAATTGTGCTCAAGATATAGTAATCAGAAGATTATTCAAGAAATTTGAAGATAACAAAGAAGACGAACAAATAGACAAATCATTGGCGAAGAAGAGATTAGAATTGTCTTTCAATCGATGTTCTCACTGTAACATAGAGTTCACTGATATAATGTCCAACAAATTTGAAGTCCAATTAAGACATTATATAAACAAATTTGTCAACGATTTCTATCAGAAGTGGATGATCTGTGACGACCACACGTGTGCCTATAGAACTCGTTTAATAACCGGTCGTATGTCAAGAGTTGGTCCCATTTGTCCGAATTGCAAAAATGGAAATTTGTGTCCAGAGGTTTGCTATTTATTTTAAAATTATTTTAGGTTTAAAATTAAAGATTATATATTTATATAGATAACTGATGCCCAACACAATCTCCAATTAACATATTTTAAACATTTGCTTGATTTGGACGCCGCAGCYAAAGAGGTTTCCGCGAGTATGTGTCATATAAATGATAGTTTGATTTTGATATTTATTTTTTTATTGCTATTATATTTACGGTCTTTTAATTTGAAACAATTGTTTTTCTTACTCTTAGGTGACATAAAGTTAATTAAACTGAATAGAGAGCACTTGTTTAGTAAACTCAAGTCAGTGGTCCAAACATATCTAGACTGGAACTCATATAATGAATTGGATATGAATTATTTGTTCAAAAAGTTGAGACTTAAAAAGTAAATAATAATTGTTATATATTTTATAGCAAATAATTATGAGTTTATTAAACAGTGTTTAAATCTTTTTATATTAATTTTTAAAAATAAACTAAACTTATGGGTACTAATGTATATTTTTCTRCATAATTTTATTGATATTTAAATTATTTCATTTTATCTATTAAATATGACATAACATTCTATCAATAAATTTTAATTTTATTTACCGGTAATTAACATATTTAATAATTAATAAATATTATAAACAATTATAAAATATTACGTTTAATTTATTAAACTTTACAAAATTAGTAATTTTTATAAATAAGTTACAATTGAATATTCAATAAAATATAATTATATTTACATTAAATTAATTTTTTTAATATATTAATTTCACTCAAAACTTCTTAAATGTATTTTATAATTTAAAATTACTTTACCATAACTAACAACTTGTAATAATTTTTCAAAAGTTKTATTCTTAACGTACTATAATTAAGGCAAATACGGCAATATATTATTAATGCGATTCTCAAGTGTTGCTAAAAATTTTTTCATAAAATAAAAATACAGTTATTTCCAAAAAAATTGTTATTAAAATGTATAACAAAAATTTCAAGCAATTAGTGGTACTTTTTATGCTAAAGTGAARCTATGGATGTGTTCAATAGCTAGAAGTAGTTTTTGTCTTAATTTGTCTTCAGATGAATAATTTTCGGGTAAATCCAATACATTAAAGCACGTGTGAGACACCGGTAAATGCTCTTCGCTGGTCTTCATTGGCTGTATTATAATCTGTATTAAATAAAACTTTAGTTTAAAACAAAATATTGAGACAAATATTATAAATAGATTTACATTTACGGCTTTCATTCCAAGAATAGGTATTCTATCGCTTCCAGTGAGGAATAAAAGAAATTTCTTTTTTTCGGTGTTTGTTAACGAATGAAATACTTTCCAAAACATTTTGATAGTCTGGTGTTGACTATTAAATGGCTCTTTATATTTGGTTGAATGAGTTTCCATAAGTTTCCAATCAATCACTTCTTGACCAGTGATGAGTTGCATGAGTTCTTCAGCGCGAAACAGTGACATAATACCAGAGTCTTGATTGCCGTCTTTGTTTGTCGTCGACAATACTTTATAGAAGCCTTCCTTAAACTCTTTAAACTGCATTTTCACCGATTCATTCAATATATAATTCCAGTAGAGTTTGACATAATCTTTGCGATTCTTGTAATTTAATATTTTATTTTTRCCCCCTTTTTCCAACTCATATTCAACAGGAAAGTCGTATCGGTTTAAAGTGATTGTGAAATTCATATCACCGTAAATGGCATTAAACTCGTTTTCATTATAAGTTGTGTCTTCAATATCTTTAAGACTTTTGGTCAATACTGGATCCAATGAATTTAGATCATCCAATTCTAGCGGTTCATTCAATAGTTTCTTATAGAGAATGAGTGGGAACGGCAAGTATATGATAACTTGATTATAGATGGCCAGACCACAGATGATACCAATTAAATGATACATAACTAAATCGTCGCTGTCGTGTACTTCTCCCGGATTGAACCAAATAGTGTTGGTTTCAATGTATTCACAAAACATACCATATTTTTTGTCCAATACTTCTTTCATAAGTAATAAAAAGAACTCTTTTTTCATACCAATGCCGGCGTCCACTCCCTCTTCGCCTTCAAAATTAACTTTCAAAGGTTTCTTGAAATCTCTGGGATTTTGATTTCTAAACACTAAATAATTGATAGTTTCGTGAAGTATTGAATTGCGACTAACAGTTAACACTAAATATGGATTTCCTATTAATATAGTGTTTCCAAACAAAATCGGGTTCATCATTGTGCTGATGGCGGCATCGCTTTGCTGTAGTTGTGAATCGGCGGCCAATATTTCAGTTTTGGCCGGCGGGTCAAATATAAATGCAAAATCACATAAAAATAAAGCTTTGCGGCCATGAGTTTGACGGCTATAATGRAATCGGGTCTCGAGCCAGTTCTTGTAATCTAATCCAACATTAAAGTGATCACTAATACCTTCGATATAGAACTCCTTATAAGAGATAATATTATGTTTTTCGTTAACTTTATTCAKTATTGCCATAAACTCAAGACTCAGACCTAAACACTCATGAAGTGTGGCATCGATTTCATGTCTTTCATTGTTTTCATTTCCTATATTTTGTTTATCCTGAATGTCTAAGAGTTCTTTGACATAATTTTTAACGTTTTGAATAAACTGTTTGAATAATTTTTCATCTAATCGTGAAAACCACTCCTTAATAGCATTTAAAGCAAAATCATTTAAACGAAGAACTGATCGCAAATATCCGGCGACTAATTGTCTCATTATATCTCTATCTTTATATCCAGTTTTAAATAAGTGAAACAATGGTAACAATAAATATATTCGAAGAACTTCTGGATCTAAACTATTTTCATCGTAAATATTCGGCAAATTAGGTATTAATTTAAGTATTGATTGATAAATAAGTTCTTGAATACGACTGTTCTTTGTTTTCTCGATGAAATTGAAGCCTTTTTGTGCCGATTCCCAGTCAATGGCTGGTAATAAAGTTTCTGATTTTGTATTTAAATCAATATAACTGGAGTTCCAACACGAGACTGATGTCAAAGCATTTTCGATATACTCGATGTCATCCGTCKGTATTTTTTCGCCTTCAAGTGATTCATTTAACTCTTTTAGTTTATTATTATCTAATTTGTATATCTCTTCAAAACGATAGTTATATCTGAAATCCAACGGACGGTTTCTATCAGAAAGTCGGACGACTAAAACAAAACTTTGATCTCCTTTTGAGGCAATAATCTCTTTAAGGACTAGTTGTTGGCGTTCAGTATTAAGTTGTGTATCGGAGTCGGGATCCGAAATGTATTCATCAATTTGTAAAGAGTCTGCATTTGTGGAAACAATACCSTTATCGGTGCAAATGAATTCTGGTTTACGGTAATCACAAATTTTATTAATRTCTTCAGGTTCTTCAATAATAGCCATTTCGTCTGATGATAGATCTGCTTCAGTTTCATCTCCATCGGAAAACTCCTCGATAGACATTTGGTCGTCGCGAACATAGTTTTCAATATCAATATCTTTGGTCGGAGTCTGTGATCTTTTAGGAGTGACAGTCGGTGAAGGAAATGACTTGTGTTTAGTAACAGGCAATACAGATCCGGACATATTTCTCAGTGAAATATCTTTGACGCCTAATTCAATCCACTTTCCCATAACACTGTTTGGCACACTTTTGCTTACTTGAGTACCAATACCGAGTTGTCCGGAACCATTGAGACCAAATGAATACACTCTACCACTCGGTTCAACTGATGCTAATGTATGGCATCGTCCGCACGATACTTGTGTAACAGTATTGCCCATCAGTTCAAATACACGTCGGGGAAGTATTTCGTTGTTATTTTTTGCGTGACCCAACTGACCATACATACCAGCTCCCCATGAAAAAAGTCCGCCATCAGCGGTCAACGCAACTGAATGTTCGTCACCACAATTAATAAATGATATCCGTTGTGAACGAAGAGTTGTTTGAATTGTTGGAAGACATCTATTTTGCAAATCGTTAAGACCTAACTGTCCGAACTCGTTCTTTCCCCACATATATAAGGCCCCCGTATAGGACAAGACGGCTGAATGAGAACCACCGCAAGACAACTGACGAATGGGAACCGATCGCAACAATTGGATCTCAATTGGACTAAAAAAATATTTAATTTTTATTAAACAATTACCAGTATTAYTGCAATTTTTTKAGTCAAATACCTGTTCTCACAATTGCCTTTCTGACCATTTCCTAACTGTAATTTGAAAATAAAGAAATAATAAGTAAAACTATTAGCGATAAGCAAATAATTTGTGGTCAAAACCTGTCCGAAAGCATTTGAACCCCACGAGTATAAGATACCATCTAAAGGATTATCAATTTATTAGTAAATGTATTAATAATAAAATTGCATTACTTTTAGTGAGTGCCAGACTATGATTGCCACCGCAAACAATCTGAACAATACATTCAGCGGCCAATCGCTTGACTAGTGATGGTTTGTCMACCGATTCGTCCACATTATTACCAATACCTATGAGATCGTTATGAACTGTATTTATAAGTGGACTTAGRTTTAAAACCAGTTCATACCTAACTGTCCAAACAAATTGCATCCCCAACTAAATATCTGGCCAGCAGTGGTCAGAGCAAGTGAATGGTTGGCTCCACAGCATACTTGAGTTACCACATGATGACTGAGCGCATCAATCACTTCAAGCCGACGCCAACTGCCTTCGCGACCCAATTGGTGTCTCTCATTKGATCCACAGCTCAGTAAAAGACTCGTATCGTGTATGTGATTGTGAAGGAGAACCAGTGTATGRTTGCGACCGGAGGACAGTTGTCTTAATGAGTATTTGCGGCGATCGACCACTAGTTTCTGTTTGCGCGGCAATAGGATGTGCTCGTCCTCTATACCACCCAAACCTAACTCACCGTTAGATGTATTGCCCCAACAATACACTTTAGCCATCAATATAATTATCACTAACTATCACACAAACTGATCCAATAATGTCTAWYATATAACAAACACAACAATCATTGCATACTTAAAGTAATCAACAATTGTATGACAAATGTTAGTCAATACGAGATAACACTTATAACTATTAATAACATATAAACACATTTAGCAATCATTACTAATCCTATTTAGACTGTGATTCAAATYAAAAACATATCATTGAATTTCTATATCTAWATGTTTTAATTTATTTTAGAATTTAGTAATTTAGTATGCACATTTTCTAGTTTAAAATTATTTAAAATTTTAATTATAATATTMAATTAAGTGTTTTATTGACAAATTRTTAATACAAATACTTAAGTAACATTAGTCACAGTCAATATAAGCATAGATTCAATGTATACAATACTATACATTCAATGAATAATAATAAAGTATTTTCTCGAATATTCCGTAACATTTGTGCACTCATTTCAATGCCATTCAATTGAAAGTGCATAACATATAAGTGTTGTTAAAATACACGAWTCTAACAATTTTCAAACCATTTCAATATAATGTAAAAATTTATTATTTTAAGAAATTTATAAAATTTAATCAATTTATAATAATTATTACAATCAAGTTTCAATAATATCGTTTGAAAATGTAAATCGTCTTTTCAAATAAAAGTATATTAAAAAAAAGTAAATTTAATAAATATCTATGATTTTAGAATTAAATATTAAATGTTTTAAAACTTATACCTATAGTACAGTACAATAATATCAATGTTTGAAAAATGTTGTTAATACAATAGCGTATTATAAAGTATATTACAAAAAAATTTAGTAACAAAAAAATTCACAAACAAACATTAATAAAATTATCTAAAAAAATTGATTAACTATTCAATTTATTGAAATATATTAATAAAAATATTAAATGTTATTGAAATTATGTAATAATAATAATTTTAATAAAAAAAATAAATATTTTATCATTGTTAATATTTTTCTATAATTGTAAAATACACAGTACATTGTACAAAATTGAAGTACTACTACCTACTCATAGATTTGTCACAGTCTTAAACAGTGTACTATAAAATACAGTATAATTGATATATTAAATAAACTTTATATTATTGTCAACCCTGTTTTATATAGTATACTACTGGGTTTACTGTACTGTTATGTATTCATACAAACTATAATTTATAAAAATTTTCAAAACATAATSCAATCATTAGATTGTTAGTGCAATACCTCTTACAAGTTAGTAAGTGTTAATAGTTTAACATAATTTATAATAAATAATACACTATWAATTATTTTTAAAATTAAAGTTTTATATTATCATTTTATTTTTGAAAWTAAGTTTAATTTAGATTATTGAACTAAAACCATGGGTTTATTTCATAGACAATTTTAATACTGTATAAATATATGCATTTCAATAGAAACTTTAATTAGACTGATCTATGTATTGTCACAAATTCATAACTTAATTCAAAAAGAGGTTATTGTGTGTAATAAATACAGTAYAGTATTATACTGTACAAAATTTACAGGTATATCAAGGTATACAATGTATACTAAACATTAAGTATACCAAATACAGTACTTTTCAAAAGCTTGTGTTTGTTTGAAATTATGAATGGGCAGCACCAGTATCAGCAYTAGTATCAGCACCAGTATCATCAGCACCAATATGATGACCTCCCTAAGCATAATTCAATAACTCTAAAAWCTTTACTATTACTTTTCTATTGAATTGAATATTAAAATAATATAAAACGGSGAATTAAATCAGCTTTTTAGTGTCTAATGTTTAAAACATGAGTGTAGTATTAAAAAAARCAATAATAATWATTATWTAAAAATTTAKTGGATTAAATTGTCACTTAATTTCTATGARATTTGATTTTAGTATATTSTGTATTATTTGATATTTTTTGTTGTTGAAGATATTGAATATAAATTTTATATTATAAAGTAATTAATTTGCATAAAACAAACAAAATATAGTACCGTTTATTTAAATAATTATCACTTTGTGGTYATCAGAATAGATATCGAAAATTATTAGATTTTATTAATAAAATATCAAACAATTATTAAATTAAAATTATRTGTCACTTATTGTCAATAAGTTATTKGCATCTATAAATTCATTCACATAAAATAACATAATGATATAATTAAAAATATTTTTTAATCTAAAWTGATTTAAATTAATAAATATAAATTAACATTATTCAAACTTTATTTTTTTTTAATACACTTTTAATTTTACTTTCACCAATTTTCATATAATAAAWTTTCAAATAAAATTTCWTTTTCATATATTTTTTAYTGATTTGTATAAAAAATAACAAATTTATTAGTTTTTTACATAAATCATTTTTAAAAATTAAAAGATTTTAATAAATAGTATTAAATAAATATTAATATATATTTATTTATTTTGAAAATTATAGATATAATAATGTTATAATTTTTAGTTTATTATACTATGTCTTAGCCTTAGTTAACAAAATTTATCCTATTTTTATCCTAAATTAACTGATTATTATTTGTTATTACAGTATAATTTAGTACTACTTATAGTATGACTTGCTTTTCAATAAAACAATATTTAAGACATAAATTTTATATTATTTTMTTATWTAGACTTAACAATACAGTATATATAAATTGATTGCAATRTCAAATTAAAGATCAAAATGTGAGTACAAATGATAATTAGTATTAAAAAATAAAAATTTGCAAATAATRTTTACAAATATCAATATTTATCTTAAAAATAAATTAATGTTTAAATAAAACAAATATATTCTTTAGTAATATTTATTTTGTTAAATATATATATATATGATATTTYAAAACAAGACAACAAATTATATACAGTATTTTGGTTATGAATATGTCTATGAATATAATTAAATGCTATTAAATATTACATTTAATCTTAATTGTATTTAGTTAAATCAATTAGTCATTTATTATTTAAATCAATTATTATTATTATTATCTATATTTTATATATAATTATTACTCTTTCACTGATTTGTTGATCACATGCTATACTATACTGTATTTACTTCATAATCACAATCAATGGAAATATGTTTCATCTCTAAATTCTCTGCAAATTCAACACTGAATCTAATAAATCAATTGTCAATACAAAGCACCGCCCGTTTCAAGTGTTTTCATAATATTTTCATTACAGCCTATATATACAAACAATATATAGTATATGTCTTAATAAATTCTCAATTAAGCAAAAAAAAACAATTAATATTTGTAATGTTGATTAATCTAAAMGTCTATATAAGCTATTATTCAAGTTTGTTTAAAAATGTTATTATTATTATAATTATTTCGATTTCTATTAAATCAAAATGAATTATTAGCACTATTTAATTATGAATATATGTTAAATAAATGTAAAGTTTACATAATTGATGTTTCTAATGATTTCATAACTATTTGACACAAATCTACAAAATGTTATTAAATTTAAATATATATATACAGTATATATATTGTATAGTAGTTTATTTTGTATGAAAGAAGGTATCTATTAATTTTTATGTGAACTTAGTTTATATTTACATAATACTATAGATATTCAATATTTTAATAATTATTTTTTCAATAATTTTATGGATATATATTGAATAGAATATAAAACAATAATATAATATTCAAAATAAKATATACTTAATTTCTTTAAATTTTTAGAAAGTTTTTAACAAATTTATGTCTATGTGATCCTAATGTCAATTTAGTTTTCTTCACATTTTTTATTTTGTAATACAATTAAAATAAATTATTAATAATAATTAAATATTACTAACARTTAAGAATATTAATACATTTTATCACATATTTTATAAAAWTTATTAATTTAATTTAATTGSGATTTATTGAAAATGTATATGGGAATTCCATAGTATAATAGCAGTATAAATTACTGTAGAAATTTTCTTAGTGAAAATTACTAAAAATTTTATTTTATATTTATAATTAATATTCTAAAAGTTAGTTTCAATTTCATCTCTATTYTATACAATATAATGGTTAAGTAAGATGTAAACATAAAATTCATGACAACCCAGGAATTGATTAATTTATTGATAAAAAAGACAAACAAAACAATATTATTGTAAAAACAATTTTTGTTTTATTAAATTAATAATAAAAATACTTGAGATAAGACAATCAATTGTGTAATAGAAAATCAGAATTATTAGTATTAAAATTAATTAGTTTTGTTAAACTACTTAAAATTAAAGTACTTATAATTAACCGCTTATCATATGATGTCACTGCTATTATACAGTTTGAAGAAAAACTAAAATATTGTGGCAAACATATTGGTGTTTATTTGTAAACTTTATGATTAATTATTCACTGAATATTTATTATATACACAAATTAAACTTATTAGAGATATTTTGGCAAAATATTGAATTTTAAAGAGAAAAATAAACTGTTATTACTTTGAATGCATGAGCGCTGAGCATATGCGTGATGTAGGATATGGTGATGTGGTATCACCTGCTGAGAGATATAAAGTTGGCTAAAAATGTTATTTATATTAAATAATGTCCAAAATTAGATATACTGTACAGTAGTTTATATGACAATACAACTATGAAATACTTGTAAGTTTGTAGTACTCGAGTGTCTTATCATTGTTGACAACAAAATCATTATAGAATCGGTCGGTTAGCTGTCAATGTCTATAATACCAGTGGTGTAATACAAGTGAATACTGACAAAATCATAAAGTATATATATATATATATATCATACAGTATCACATATGTTATGTATGTTTTTCAACTTGTATTTCACTATCATTCACATGTAGTTTCACCTAAAAGTTTACTGTAAGCTCTTGTAATAAGATAACAAAACTATAAGTTTGAGAGGATAGGCACTCAACTTATAGCACTGTTATGTGAGAGTCGTGGTATCGATGAAAAATGAAAAACTATATTAAGACATTGTTTGCTTACACATTGTATGGTTGTTCAGTATTGGTCGTTATCGGTGCTCAACACATACCAATTCAATTGCGATGATATGGTATGTATTACTAACAGTCACCACAACCTAATCATCCCAACCTTTACTCAACCAATTTATGCCAATCGCTTACAAACTAATCCCCACTTATGTACTACCAGTTGACAGGCCCTCAAAACCCGAGTTAAGTAGGGTTGACTTTAGTCACTATAACTTTAAATAAGCATTTCATAACAACCAAATACTGTATTAACCAAATATCAATAAAAAAAAGTAATGCATTAATTCAAAACATTGGTATAATTAATTTTCGTAATACATATAAATAATATTATTTTATAAGCAATTTATTAATATATTTATCTATTTTTTAATTATAAGTCTAAAATATTAAGTTTGTATACTGTATATTGAAATACAGTATAATATTTAAAGCTGGTGTGTCACTTATTATATATATACTATAATAAGATTGTAAGTGTACAACCCTAATCATATTTGATATTATGAATATATAAACTTAGATATTGTTATACAACACAAATACTACAAAAGTATTGTATTTTTAACGGCAGAGACATTCAGATAGAGAATCATTTATATTGAATGAAAGTGAGAGAGACATACATTTAAATGAAGTGATTGTAAATCATTAAAAACTTTTTTTTAATATGTTTGACAAAACAAAACTGTAATAAATGCTACAAATATATGACTATTATATTGTGTRTAATGTAATAAAATACTACTGAGTATTATTAACACACAATCTGTGGGTAAGTATTAGCAAAAATACACACTTTTTTATGAGCTTTCATTCAACACACTAACCGCTACTTCAATATATTAACTATTTGTTAATTAAGTCATAAATTTTATAATTTATTTATATTTGCTATAAAATATTATTTAATAAATAAATCTGTGACCACTTCCTCCTCCTCTAACAGTACCTAACAATCAGGTGTTTAACCAATGAATAAATTAACTTAAAAATCATTTACAAACTAATACTTTGACTTTCAATTAAAATTATATTAATCATTGAAATGATTTTTATTACAATAAACTAATATTTTCTTTYTTAAAATAAACTCTTTTGTTTAATTTAATGATAATATTATACTAATCTGTAATTGTTATAAACAAATCACATTTAATGACAATAAATTTGAAACAAAATGATTGACTGAATATATGATTAAACTATTGATACAATATATCACAAATAAAAKCATTTATTATTTGATAAAATAACTGACTTTTTTGGCTATTATTTCATTTATGAAATATAATTGACGATAAATTTTGAATATTATTATTGATTAAAATCATTTGATACTAAATATCTGATCAATTGATGGCTATTTTAGGTGCAAATGAAATACAAAGCATTGTTGCGGACCTTAATATGCATACAAATGATAAGCTTATCTTTAAGTTACTGTAAGAGTTGTCTAAACCATTGATGACATAGTAGTTGATTAACTAAAACCATTTACTCAGCACTTCCACGAATCAAATCCGAGATACAGTCTCGTATGGTTTACCCGATCGGCTCTAATGTCTCTATATATTGTCCCGTTATTGCCGACGACACGGATCTACTGTTTTTCGAGTGGAGTCGTCCATTGGATCAGCCCATAGTAGTCAATCATCGCACGCGGATCACTGATAAAGGTGTCTTAAAGATAAAATCAGTGATCATTGAAGACAGTGGAGAATATTTGTGTAAAGCYATCAATGGTTTTGGATCCGTCACAACCAGTGTTGTACTTGAAGTTCAACCAATTGGTTATTTAGAGACATTAAATGCACAAAAAGATAATATCTATCCCATCGACTCATTTGATAGTATATCAGCTGAAGACTACARACCTCAGCMTAAAGTTAGTCAACGAATAACTGGTCGACAGCGCGGACGCAACAAATTGAAACCAATTGTTTTAAGTGCTTCTGTGGGCGAATCAGTCAACATATCATGTGATAAGAGAGTTACTGGTCATCGGATCAATTGGTATAAGAACTCACAGATCATTTACAACAGTGAGCTTTCGGTCGGTTCACATAAATCTGGTCGACATTTGACTCTATCGCCCGTACGGGTGAGGGATAGTGGTCTCTACACATGTGTTGCTTTGGATGACCACTTCAACAGTTCTGTGAATCTCGTGGTTTATGGTAAGTGACTATATATTAGACAACATATACAGTATTAATATCAGTATTAATAATAATACATTATATCTATGTTTGCTAATTATGACTACAATTACTAACGATAATTATGATATTAATTATCTCATAATTACTGTATAATATGTATTATATTTTTTATTACTATTTAAAGATAAATTTCTTAATTATAATTAAAAWWTTTTTAGATATTTTWAAATTTTTGAATGTTATTTATATATGATATAATAAATAATGAGTAAATATAAATWAAATTAATATTAATTTAGASGATTAAAATTTTTCAAACCATTGATTATTGATTTTTACTGTTAGACAAACCAAAGATGACTGCATTACATCCCATCAATAGTACTGTTGTATTGGGAGAACCGATAGTTTTCTACTGTAATATCAGCAGTCAAGTCAAACCTATTATTCAGGTAATCATACTATTAATTATTAGTCAATATTTGTGTTAATTAACTTTTTATTAAATATTTTTATTTTCATTATTTTAATTTATAATTATCAAAAATTATGCTACTTATTACTAAAAATTATTATTTTCTTATTTTMTTATTAAAATATTAAACWTTAAATTATTATTATAATTATTAATAKTAAAAATATCATTTAATTACCGGTAACTTTTGTCTTTATTTACCGTATCGTAAATTATTTAATATTTACTGTTAAATTATGAATTAGATTTATTAATTGATTAGACATTACGTAATTTAATTTTATTAGTGGCTAAAAGGTATGACTGACATAAATGAAGCAATAGATGAAAGTGTGGTTCCTATAAAACTGAATCTTTTTAAGTCGATATTCAATTCAGAGTACTATCAGGTACTTAAGCCAAGTGAGGTCATCGACAACAAGAATGACACTTATTCTACAACTTATGTGATTGAAAGGACACAAACTACCGATTCTGGAGAATACATATGTTTGGCCGTTAATCCACAAAATGTCAACTTTGACTTTATCTACGAAAGCACATACTTAAGGGTACAACCAGTGTATCCATTGACCGGTGCCTCCAATATGTCCAATGATTCTAATGTCTCATTAACCGCTATTTTTTGGATATCTGTGTCTGTGGTCACAGCTGTGGTCCTATTTTTGGTCGTGTTTTTGATATGTCTTAACCGAAAACGAATTACAGAAACACGGAATTTACAGAACAATATCAATAACGACATCGAAGACAGTATTAGTGTTACCGACGGCGCCAATCGATACCGATTCACACGTGACTCGACTCCCAAAAGGGGATACATTTCTGGCATTGCTTACAATCAAATGAACCAAAATTTTCAGACAAATCGTTTGAATTACTAAATAAAACCTCAAATTAGTAAATCGCAAAACATTTGTTGTATAAAAAGACATCAATTCATAAAATTAAATATTCATTCAAATATAATTTGTTTTGATTTATACTTAATAACACCACTTGTTATAAATGTGTTATTATTTTATTATTTGTTGTTTTATATAATTACTATGAAAACATTTTTTAGATATCATTTACCGTAATGTGTATTATAATTYTGTAAAATATCAAATAAAACATATGCTTTTAAAATWRAATTTAATAATAATTATTGCATTGGTTATGAAATGATATGATTTTCTAAATTAACAATCATTTCCATTGAAATATAAAAACAACATATTTGTTATTTGATTTAATCAATTGCATTTAATTTAATTCAATAATTAAATAGACATTAATGGATAAATAGAAAATTAGGATTTATTTTTAGAAATTATAAAAGTAAACAATTTTGAACCTATTTTTACATAACATTTTCGGGTCGTTTACTAAAAGTCAAGACAAAACATTAATGAATAGTTACACAAAAAAGTCAATTAAATTATAATAAATTAATACACAATTAACTCGATAATAAACATTTAAAAATATAATAAAAATTAAATTTTGAATTTATATAAAAAATATTTTAATTATATTCTGATAAATGGCTGACAAGAGAATAAAAATTGCATTTACGTTACGGTAATTCAATTTTAAATAAATATATATATATTTGTATTTATTTATATTATTTAATAAACTTTTTATCACAAATTACTAGAAAAGACTTGAATGTAAAAAACTTATGGCTTAATAATACAAATGCTATTATTTTGCAAAATGTTTGTCTCAAAGCTCATCCTTTGTAGGATTGGTTGCGATAAAGCTCTCAATGATATTAAGCCTTCCCTGGAGTTCCTTCTTCTTGGTGTCCGATAGTTTACCGGACAATAGATTCTGAACGCGTTGTTTCTCACTCTCGAAGAATACGTGTCCCCTTTCGATGGCTTTCTCCATAATCTTCACGTAAATGTTTGCTGACTTCTTGTCGGTTTCTTCTGTTAGTTTGTTAGCTTTACTCTTAGTCGTCTCGAAGAGTTTCTTTTGTTGGTCTTTAGTCACTTTATCGGCGGTAAACTTGTTGGCCAAGTCGTCAAACTCCTCGAGACACGACTCCAACACAATTTTAATGCCCGCCTTTGACCTCACAAAAGCTTTGAGTCCATCGGACTTAAATTCTTTGGCATCAAATGTGAKACCATTTTCTACATCTCCATTGAGGAAGAGYTTAACGACTGGGAAGTCATCCTTTTTGATGCCATATTTGTCTGCCAAGTCTTGATTCTCTTTCTCTCCGTAATCGCGAACAGGTATGTCAGCAATCAATAGGTTAGGTGTGGCTCTTAGATCTGCCGCTACTTTAGCCCACTCTTCTTGTTTCTCACCGAAAGGATAGGCGGTATCAAAGCGGACGAGCGATGCCTTAAACTTTGGCACAATCTGTGGCAACAAATGGACAGTTAGTTATCAAACACTACAGTAGTCTATACTGTAGATTGAAATACCTTTAGAAAAGTGAATGAATCCAAACCAACTGATCCTTTAGTGTCTGCAATGACCGCAACGGTTAACACATTGAGTGTCAATAGTGTTAGTGATAAGCATTTGATATACATTTTCATCACAATATCAATCAATTGAATGCAATTAATATTCAAATACTAAATACAATCAAATGTTTGCCACAAAAGTCCAAACAATTTGAGTCCAAAATATTTGATTCGATTTTTATTCTCTTTATATTAAAGCCAATGACTCTACACATAGACTATATATCTATAGATTACGTTCATTGGGTWTAACATTGAATACTATATATTACTAATAATAGGGAAGTTATTGTCAATCACTTGAATAGTCTTTATTTATGAGCGTTTGGTTATACAATCAAATAGAATATAACGTGGAAAGTGTTTATTGGCTGCTATTAGAAAAAGTTTACATTTCTATCGATACCTCTATTGACTAACACTTAATAAATTTTATATAAATTATAAATACTGTATATATTATAGAATTAATTAATATATAATATTATACTATATTTTATATCATTATATATACTATAGATTATTATTAATGCCTGTATTTTAATAATTATGTAAAAATATAATATATTTATACYATTGAATTAAATATTTTAAAGTATACTATAATTTAGTAAAAAAGTTAATTAATAATAATTTTTAATTAATAAAATGCATGATATTTAATAACATTATTAATACATATTTATTTAAATATGATTTTATATTTGAAGTGATAATAATTGATAAATAAAATTGGTAATTCAACTATAACATGTTTTAAGTATTTCAATATATTAACTTTATCTAAATATATAGAAATACTTAAAACAAATTATAGTTGAATTACAAATTTTATTTATCAATTATTATGACTTCAAATATTAATATTTAATTTAAAGCATAAAAAACAGAAAAGAAACTTATTTTAAGTATTTGTTATATTTAAACAATTATTTAATAAATTTACTTTTCAGATATTATTTAATATATTTTTATGTAAAAATATAATAATTTTCTATTTTGTTGTTGTTTTTTATTTATATAATATTATATATAATATACAATTATTTTTATAATACTAATTTATAATTGTTTTTTTCTATACTATTACTTTAACTATTACTGTTACTTATTACTACTAACTTTAATAATTAAATATATTTAATTAATTTAATTAGATAATAAATATTAAATATCTTTTGTATTATCAACAATATCATACTACAGGTGTTTAAATTCGCAAAATTGTAAAAACAAAAACTAATGTGAGCCAGCATAAAATTATATTACTTATCAGCAATTATTAGCACATTTTAGTTTAAAGTAAATAAATTCATGTTAATAAAAGTAAGGTTATACTTATAAAAAGTTATAATATATCACATAATGGAAATTTTAATAATTTCAAAGTTTTAGTCAATAAACAACTATTTTAAAATTATTATATACTGTTAAATTATGTGATATATTATAATTTTTTATAAGTACTTATATACTTATTTTTATCAATTTTAATTCAATTTTAGAAATTATAAATTTTCTATTATTTAAAAAATCTATGTTTTACTAAAACTGTGTACAGATGGCAGGTGTTGTACTTTACTGTTAAGTTATTAATAGTATAAATACTATTAATAAGTTAATACAGTACTACTGTATTATTACTAATAATTTATTACTTTTTATTAAAAATAACTTCATTTAAAATAATAATACGAAGAAATAAAGAAAATAATTTAAACAATTGAATTCGTAAACATTATGCAAAAATTGATGCTTAAAATTAATACTAAAATCATTATACAAATATTTGTTTGTAAATATAAAAAATAAATTTTTTTTATTACAATTATATAAATTTATTACAAAATATAATTATCAATTTATAACAATTAAATCAATTAATGTTTTGATTAAAAATGTTTATATAACAAAAATATATGCTATTAACAGTATGTTATATTTATAGTTACATTGCAGGTTATTTAGGTTCAAGTAAACTTTCTCATTAAATAAATATATTACTATACATTGTAATTATAAATAGCTTTTAAAAATATAAGTTTCAATTAATCAAAGTATTTTAAATAACAAAAATCTATTGATAATAAACTATTTTATTTTATAATCTTTGGGATTCACCAAAACTTAGACAGAATATGAGTTTTATAACACCTGTTAATAAATGAGATTTAAAGTTTATTTATAAATTAACTATTAATGTTTGTCGTATAAGATATTTATTAAAAGCAAAATATGATTTTTATATTATAATCAGATTTTATAAATATTTTAAGTTTAAAATAAGCTATAAATTTTATTTTAAAATATGCAGCAAAATCATTTGTATTATATTTAGTGATATTAGACTAAATTTCAACAAAGTTTAACCTTAAATTTATTTAATCTAAATCTTAACTTTGTTTTAAAATTTTATTTTAGTCTAAAGCAGCAATTAATGAAAATATAAATTATTTAATTTTAATCTCAAAATTATCATTAAATGTTAAATTCTAATTAATATTATATAAAAAAATATTGTAGTAATATAAAAAATAATTGTTGAATTATGATATAGTATTTAGTAGTCATAAATTTTGAAATATATTTCAAATATTAATTGAAATATAATTGAAAATTATTAATCATAAAATTGAAATATATTAATCATGAAATATATTGATTTTAAAACTTTTTACTTAAAACTTATTAATTTTGTTGAATATATTTAATTAATTAWTTAATATTATATATTTTTAAATATAAACTTTCCAAAACTTTTATTAACATTACTCTAATAAATTAAAAATAATATATTAAAAAATTACTTAATAACAAAATATAATTATACAATAATAAACTTAAAAACAATAATTTTGCTATACTTTTAGCTTTATGAAACCATAATAATAAGTGCAATTTTTCAATGTATAGTTGTAAAATTGCAAAGTAGATAATAATAATAATTTATAGCAAAACCTGTAAATTGGTTACAAAAAATAACTTTTATTATACATTAAGAAATATATGTAGATTGATATTGTTTGTACAGTTTGCGCTGTGTATAATGTTTTGTATAATATTGAAGTAGCCTAAAAAATAGCACTTTTAATATATTATTTAGCTATTCAATGGATATTGAAGTAAATAAAATAGTATATCATTAGATGATCTCAACAAAAATATCTATTATTATAAGCAACTCATAAATAGGAGCCCACTTTCTTTAGTGAGTAAAATACTGTATGTTATAAAATAGATGTATAACTGCCAGTGCATCACAAGTTTCACAACATCCACTTATAATATATATATAAAGTACAGTACTATACACTGTATACCTGTGCTCATCACACAAATGCATGACTATTGTATTATACAAAAGAAATTATAAGTTGACTGCCATTTATATAGCAATCATTGAAAACTAATGTTTACTGTACTTGAAATAAGTGGCCACACATTGTGTATATCATAACATATTCATTAAGATGTTTGATATCATTAGTAGGGATTGAGATAATGTGGGTGTCATTTAAATGTCTCAGTCTATAGATATTATAATATAGTCTAACAAAAAAAATTGATGCAATTTTGAAGACAATACAGTTGACTGTTGACGACCACAACTTTATAACCACATACTGTAGTAATCATTATTTGCTTAGTAAGTCTAGTCGTACCTGTATTTGAATACATGAGCGCAAACCTATTTATTATTGACTCATTATATTGTTGTCCAAATACTATATATTACATAACAATAATAAACCAAATAATTGATATCATTATTGTATATATTATTTAGCAATATTTATATTGACTTATTGTTATATATTTCAAAGTTTTGTTAATTATAGTGTAAAATAAATCTTCTAAAAATGAATTTTTTGAATTGCAATATAGGTTTAGTTAGAAAAACATTTTTTTCAGACATACATTTTTCATACTAAATGTATTCAAAAAACAAATTTGTTATATAATAATGGTTGAATGCAATTTACAGGTATATATTTGTAATAAAAATAGCTAATATTGTAWTAATAAAATTAAGGCAACAGAAGCTAACATATACTGCAATAGAAATGTATTATCACTGCTATTGTATATAATTGAAGTGAATATTGAAGTTGAGTTTAATTATGAGTTCAATTTGGGTGCGGTATATAAGTGGCCAAACAGTCACTATAGCGTTGCCATCACACGTAATATTAGATATTATTTCATTAGAGGATTGTCTGATGAGATACCAGTGCTTATGAACAATCGATTATAAAGTAATAGTTTTTTGTTAAAATTAGTTATAAAACACAAAATTTATTCAATGCATAATAAGAGATTAATCAGCAGTTGTACAGTCAACTCCWGTTATTTATTAATTATATTAATACTTAATTTTTGGGTAATATATTGTAAATAATAAATTTTTAGCTTTGTATGATATTTAATATAATAAAATGTTAATGTATTAATAAAATAATTTTATATAAAAAATATAATTTTTTGTTTTAGATSCTGATCAAAAAACATTATTTAATTGTATATTTAATATATTTTTATAAATATTCCTGTAATACATTAATTCATCAAATAATTATAATAATAGAACACAAMTAAAAAATATTAAAAATAAAAAGCTATAGTTATAGCTATAGTTATAGTATATAATAATAAAATTATTATATTTTGAATAAATTTGTCGCTGGAATAAAATCATAATATCGTCAAATGTATTATATAGTAAAATGAGTAATGATTTATGAAATTGAATGAAATTATAGTTAATCTAAATATTGAATAACAATATAGTAATAACATTATTATTATTGTAGAGATAGTATAAAATAATAATACATTGCATATAGAAAAAGAGTTATTATAACAACAAAAATGTTAATCTAATTTTCTCATTATATCAATGCTATGTACTGTAGTATAATAGAGTACTGTATATACTATATAGTATATACCTGTACGACACATAATGAGGGAAACACTTATTATGTGAATCACAAATGGTGTTCATTGAGATTAATTGATGGTTGACTTTGACTATACAGGTATTATACTGTAAAGTTGTGATGAGTGTCTGGTTTGTTCAATAAGACTCCGGTCATAAAAAATAGTCGACTAAATAAATGTTTGATTCAACCGACATATTTAAGTATATACTTTGTCAGACAGATAGTTCACCACAGGTTTAGGCTGTAAACGCTTTTTAATATTAATATAGCATTTGAAGATAATTTATA